TCTTTTTTTTTTTTTTTTTTTTTTGAGGGGGGGGATTTTTGCTATAGGGTGCATGTTCTCACCAGAAAGACAGAGAGACAGAAAGTGAGAAATCACCCCCCCCAGGGGGGATGGCCACGCCACAATCCCTTCTCCTTCATTCTCCTCTTGGGATCTTGGGCACGCACGTACATGCACCCAGCATGAGTTTAAGCCACCAGGTCCTGGACTTGAGCCGCGGTCAACTACATGGGAGTCCAGCAACATAGCTATTACACCATCTGCTGGTCCCTAAATAAAGTAATTCTTAAAAGACTAAATAATTGCCTAATTCAAGGACAGAGTACCGTGGTGCCGCTCTCATCCGCCCTCCCCGCGCTCACAGGTACCCCGGAAGACCGTGCTGGAGAAGCCAGCTCGAGCAGCAGAGCGAGAGGCCCGCGCCCTGCTGGAGAAGAACCGGTCGTACAAGTTGCTGGAGGACAGCGAGGAGAGCAGCGAGGAGACTGTGGGCAGAGCTGGGAGCAGCCTCCAGAAGAAGCGTAAAAAACGGAAACACCTCAGGAAGAAACGCCTGGAAGAGGAGGAGGACGAAGAGGAGGAAGAGGCGTCTGAGAAAGGGAAGAGGAAGGCAGGGTGAGTCAGAAGCAGGGGAGGGAGAGGCAGGGGAATGAGAAGCCTTCCGATGCTCTTTTTAAATCCCCCGGGCTTCTGCAGGGAGAGCAAGCAGCTGACGGAGAAGCCGGAGTCGGAGGATGAGTGGGAGCGGACAGAGCGCGAGCGCCTTCTGGACCTGGAGGAACGTGATGCGTTTGCGGAGCGGGTTCGGCAGCGGGACAAGGATCGGACCCGCAACGTCCTGGAGAGATCGGACAAGAAGGTGCGCGGAGTAGCATGTGCCGTACTGCCAGGGTCCCTGGTGGAATCTGGAATTGCCGGGGTTGCAGGCATCAGAGTCCCTGGGAAGACGAGGGGCGCCGCCTGGTCTGTGCTCACCGCTGTGGTGAGGAGACCCTGGGGGTGCTCGGGCTCAGGCACTCTGCGTGCCCTCACCGTGGAGACTCCTCACCCCGTGGGGACACTTCTTTGGACCAGGGTCCATCTGATGAACTCGTTGCTTCTGGAGGGACGGGTGGGCTTTGGCCTCACACCCCTCGGTTTGTGCCTTCTTTCCTAGGCTTACGAAGAGGCTCAGAAGCGTCTCAAGATGGCTGAAGAAGACCGGAAAGCCATGGTGAGTCCTGGGGCCCAGGCAGCCAAGATCAGGAGACAAAGGGAGTGGGCAGGATTCCGAGGAAGTATGGGGGGATGCTGTCGGTGGTCAGGACTGAGGGGGGCGCTGGTTCACGGGCTAGCCGAGAACAGACAGGCTGTAGAGGGAAGGAAGACACCGCACCCCCTCCTTGGCTCTTGGCTGTGGGGCAGACCGTGCCGTGTATTCGTGAGTGAGGTGCCGGCTGGCCCTCTTCCTCACACTTGACAGGTGTAAGGCAGCTGGAGTACTGTCGGGACAGCTGGAGGGCAAGGCAGGGAGGCTGTCCCTGTGCTCGGGGGCCCCACCTTCAGACTCTCCTACGGCCTAGTCCCAGGACCCACCTTGTGACTTTGTGACCTTCCTGCAGTTCCCTGAGCTGGCCTTCTGACTGAACCAGGGACAAAACCCTCGTAACTCCTGAACTGGGCTTTATACAGTGTGAGTCTAGGTGCGGTAGGCGGTCTCCCAAAGCCCCGGTCCTTTCATGTGAAGTCACACTTCGATTTCCCGGAAGAACTGGAGACTTTCGAGAGTTTTAAGAATGGTAGTCCTGGGACCAGCGGATGGCACGATGGTTACGCGGCTGGACTCATGGAGGCTACCGCAGCTTGAGTCTGGACCCAGTGGTTTATAACTCACTCTGGGCTCGTGTGCGTGCATGCCCAGAATCCTGAGAGGAGAATTGGGGAGCAGAGATTGTGCTGTGGTCATTCCCCCTTGGGGGTGATTTCTTGCTTTCCGTTTCTGTCTCTCTGGAGAGCGCACACATCGATAACAAAAATCTCTCTTAAAAAAAGAATGGTCACTCTGCAGGCCTCAGTTCTCTCCTGACCACCCCCTCCTGTCCCACCCGTAAACTGACCGTAGTTAGATTTGAGATACCGCTCGGTGCTGTGATAGTACTTTTTAGAATGATGATTTGATTATTATTATTGTTAAATTTGCTGTAGGGCACATATGCTCATCGGAGACAGAGAGAGAGAAAGCAGGCTGCCAGGTCTGGGGCGCAGACCACAGTAGTCCATGTGGGAGTCCAGCACCTTGACCACCATGCCTCCTGCTGGCCTCAGTTATTGTATTTCTGTTATTATTTTATTTTAGAATTATTTAATTAATTGTTTCTTTCTTTTTTTTTTTTTTTTTTTTTTTTTTTTTTTTTCTTCCTAACAAGGCGGACTTTTTTCCTGCAAGACAGAGAGACAGAAAGCGAGAAATCACCCCCCAGTGGGGATGGCCACGCCGCAGTCCCTTCTCCTCTCGGGATCTTGGGCACGCATGTACACATGCCCGGCGTGAGTTTATGCCACCAGGTTTGGGACTCGAACCGTGGTCGACTACATGGGCGTCCAGTGACATAGCCATTACGCTAACTGCTGGTCCCTGTTTATTTAAATTTTGAAATAGTATGTGCTTACCAGAGAAAGACAGAGAGAGAGGGCAAGGGAGAAAGCAAGCCACCAGACCCGAGTCTTAAATCATGGTCAGCCGTGGGAGTTCTGTGCCTTAACTACACACTACCTGCTGGCCGTATAGTATTTTGGTTTTCTTGGATTTAATTTTTCTTTTCTTTTTTAATTGTGAAAAATGTCAAATAGTCCAGCTGTGGTGGCACAGGCAGTAGGGAACTGTTACGAGATGCTGGAGCCACGTGGGAGGCCCGGGTTTGGATCCTGGGTTGACCTGAATGTACTGGGTGCACACACATGAACTGTGACCCTGGGAGTTTGGGGAGGATCACTGTATGATGAGAACCTTACAGGATACCTGGCTGTCTGTCACTCATGCAAACAGGACAGAAACTTAAAAAAAAAAAAAACCCTTCCAAACAGATAGGAGGGGTCGGCAAGTGGCATGGTAGTTAAGGGTGCTGGACTCCTACATGGCCAACCATAGTTTGATTCCCAGACCTGGCACCTTGATTTCTCATTTTTTCTCTCTCTCTCTCTGTCCCTCTCTGGTCAAATTAAAATAAATAAATAAAAGTAAATAACAAATAAACTAATTCTTTAAAAAAGAAAAATAGGATAGTACAGTCGGGACCAGCAGATGGTGTAGTGGTTATGTTGCTGGACTCCCACATAGTTGACCACAGTTTGAGTCTCAGACCTGGCAGCTTAAAATTCAGGCGTGTTCATGCATGCCCAAAGTCCCAAGTGGAGAAGGAGAAAGGGGTTGCAGCGCGGCCATCGTCCCTGGGGGGTGAGTTCTCGCTTTCTGTCTGTCTCTTTCTCCAGCGAGCACACGTGCCCTATAGCAAAAATCTCTCTAAAAAATAAAAGAACAGTATAAGGAACATCACATAGACTATTCAGGTTCAGAAATGGCTAATACTTTGTGTGATGTTTGCATTGTCTATGTAAATGTGGCTTTTGGTTCTTGTTGGTCGTTTAAAAGAGTTTAGACACCGTGGCATTCTATTCCTAAGTATATCAGCGTGTAGCTCCGAAGGGTAAAGGCAGCGTCTCCCAGGACTGCAGTGCTCTTGCCACACTCAGGAGCCTGGGTAAGAAGGTTCTTGCTGTGCTGTAGGCAGGGTATTGGTTGACACAGAACTACTTGTGTATCGCATGTATACAGGAATTAAGTAGTTCTTGTATATCAACCAACTGTTGATACACAAGATACTGTCTACAGTACAGTAAGAACCTTCTCCTTACCCCAAAATGTCTTTTTTTTTTTTTTTTAATTATGTCCTTTGGGCCGGCAGGTGGCATGGTGGTTAAGGATGCTGGACTCCCACATGACCGGCCATGGTTTGAGTCCCGGACCTGGCAGCTTGCTTTCTCACTTTCCATCTCTCTCTCTCTGTCCCTCCCTGATCAAATTAAAAATAAAGTTAAATAAAATAATTCTTTAAAAAAATTATTTTCGTTATTTTAATATATCATTGTAGTTATTTTCAATTTGATAAGAGTGAGAGAGAGAGCGAGCGAGCGAGCAAGTCACCAGGTCTGGAACTCGAACAGTGGTCAGCCAAGTGGGAGTCCGGCACCCTTAACCACCACTGCACCTACCGAACTCCCTGCAATGTCTTGTTACTTTTTAGATTTTTGCTGTAGGGCATGTGCACTCACTGCAGAGAGACAGAAGAGAGAGAGGAAGTGAGAGCTCACGCCACATTCCCTTTTCCTTCATCCCCCTCTTGGGAGTTTGGACAAGCATGCACATGCGCCCAGTGCTTTTCAAGGTTCAGGACTTGAACTATGCAGTCTGTTGTGTGGGATCCAGTACCTTAACTGCCAAACTACCTGCTGGCCCCCAGAATGTCTCTAATAGCTGCTTTTTCCAAACCAGAATGCAGTCTGGTTCAAGCCTTGCACTTGGTTGCTGGGTCTCTCTCCGTCTCTTCCTGGCTGCCTGTCTCATCCTGTGCAGTGTCCTACATCCTGGGTTGGTCTCATCTTTATCTTACATTAAGTTCTTGCCTCCCCTGCGCCCTCTCTGGGAGGAGACTCAGGTCAGGCGGCGGAGGCCCTCCCGCCGGTGTGCACGTCCATGCCCACACTGGGCGTACACCCAGTTGCGTACCTGCTAGTATAGGTTGCCTTTGTTTTTCTTTTCTCTTTTTTCCTTTTTTAAAAATTTGCCAGAGGGGCATGCACATTCACCGGAGAGACAGAGACAGAGAGGGAGACTGAGAAACCACCCTGGGAGGTGGAGGGGTCAGTGCCACAGCCCCCTCTCAGGATTTCGGACATGCACGCACACACATGCGCCAGCACGTTTTTCAGACCCCTGGATGTGGGACTCAGTCCCTGCAGCCAGCCCTGTGGGATCCAGCTGCCTTTACCACCACACAGCCTGAACCACCATGCCGCCGCTGGCCCGGTGTAGGTAGCTTTTCTACCAACAGACTCACCCAGTGGTTCAGCAACATCACTAATCCTTTCCTGGATCAGTTATTTTATTGCTGCTTACAAAATGGTGATTTTGGGGTTCTGTCATTTTTTTCTAAATTATTTTCGCTAGGATTTTTATATAAAGGAGATCTTTGCCTTCACAACGAGGAATGAGCTACAGTTCCTGCTTACAAGGTAGCATAGATACTTGTTTCCTTGGGGCCAGTTGGTGGCACAGTGGTAAGGGAGCTGGATTCCAGAGGACCGAAAGTGCAGTTTGAGTCCCAGTCCTGGCAGCTTGAAAAGTGCCAGGTGCACGTATGTGCGTGCCCAAAGTGCCAACAGGAGAGTAGAGGAGGAGGGGGCGTGGTGTGGCCATCCCCCGGGGAGTGCTCTCCCACTCTCCCTGTCTTCAGTGAGCATACATGCCCTGTAGCAAATTAAAAGGAAAAAAAGGACTATAAGAAAGTACATTTCTTTAAAAAGCGTGCGTGCGTGTTTATGTGTCTCCTTTTTTTTATTTCTAGAGGGTATGTGCACTCACCAGAGAGACAGAGAGACACAGAGAGAGGGAGACGTATACAGTACCTCCCGATGTGGCGTGGTCACCTCCGTTTCACCTCCTCCCGTTCTCTATCCTGTCAGGATTTTGGATATGCATGCACACAACCAGCACGTTTTTCAGTCCCCTGGGCCAGGATTTAGACCACAGTTGGCCATGTGGGTCCCAGCTTCCGTAACTACTGGGCTACTTGGTCAGCCCTGGTTGTTGTTGTTGTTTTTCTTCTTCTTCTAATTATTATTTATCTAATTTATTTTTTATGATTTATTTTTCAATTTGACCAGAGAGAGAGAAAGGGAAAGTGAGAAAGCAAGCCACCAGGTCCGGGGCTCGAACCACAGTCAGCCATGTGGGAGTCCAGCACCCCAACCATCACACCATCTGCCATCCCTTTCTCTTTTTTTTTTGAGAGGTTTTTCACTATAGGGCGTGTGCCCTCGCCAGACAGACAAGAGAGAGACAGAGAGACAGAAAGCGAGAAATCACCCCCCAGAGGGGATGGCCACGCCGCAATCCCTTCTCCTAAAACTTGGGATCTTGGGCACGCACGCACACGCGCCCGGTGTGGGTTTTAAGCCACCGGGTCCGGGACGCGAACCACGGTCGACTATGTGGGAGTCCAGCGACATAGCCATTACGCTAACTGCTGGTTCCCCCTTTCTCTTTTTTTTGAAAGCATTATTTTACTGTGTTGGCAGGTGACACGGTGCTGAGGGCGCTGGACTCCCACATGTCCGACTGCATTTGATTCTCGGACCTGGCAGATCGCTTTCTCACTTTTCCTCCCTCTCTCACATACACTACCCCTCTTTGGTCAAATTAAAGTAAAGGTTTTTTAAAAAAGAATTATTTAATCTAACTTTATTTATTTATTTATTTATTTATTTTAATTTGACCAGAGTATCAGAGCTAGAGAGGGAAAGTGAGAAAGCAAGCCACCAAGTCTGGGACTCAAACCCTGGTCGGCCATGACGGAGTCCAGCATGCCACCTGCCGGCCCCAGCCCTGGTTCTTACTTTTTATTTGTTTTTAATTTGTCAGAGGGCATGTGAACTTGCTAGAGAGAAAGGGAAAAGGAGAGGAAGAAAACAGCCCCCACGAGGAACAGCTGCTCCACAGTCTCTTGCCCTTCTTTTGGGATTTTCGACATGTGTGCACTTGGGCCTTATGTGTTTTTCAAGCCACTGGATCCTAGACTCAAACTGCGTGGACAGCCATGCGGAATCCAGCTTCCTTAACCGCAAGGATGCTAGAGGGGTGTGTGCTCCCCTCTCCGCCTCTCCTGTTTCCTTTTAATTACTAATTTTTGAAGTAAGAAGCTTGGTTTATGTTTTCATTGGTGACATACATTTTTTTAATCCATTTTTTTGTGTATGTTACAATGGGTTTCTGAATTCTTATTTTTCGTTATTTTAGTACTTTACATAATTTTCTTTGAAGCTCAAATTGCCCCAATTTTGCTTTTATTTTAAATAAAAACAAGCAATAAAACCAGGCTGTTCCCATAGTGCAGGGGCTAAGTGTTGTGCATGGGGACCTGATTCCTACATGGTGGAGTATGGTTTGAGTCTTGGCCATGGCAGCTTGAAAAACATGCTGGGCACGTGCGCGCGCATCCCCGAACCCTAATGGGCTCGAGACATGGAGGAAAGGGTTGTACGTGACCATGCCCCACCGGGAAGTGCACTTCGTCTCTCTCTTTCTCTCTGTAGCGAGCACATGTGATCTCTGGCAATTAGAAATAAAAAATCTGGGGGCCAGCAGGTGGCGGGGTGGTTAAGGGCGCTGGACTCCCCCATGGCCGACTGCTGTTTGAGTCCTGGACCTGGTGGCTCACTTTTTACTTCTCTCTCTTTCTGTGTCTCTCTGATGAAACTGGAAAATAATAAAGTTAAATAAAATAATTCTTTTTTTTTTCTTTGGAGAGGTTTTTGCTATAGGGCGAGAAATCACCCCCCACCCACCCCCAGGAGGGATGACCACGTCACAATCCCTTCTCCTCCATTCTCCTCTCTGGATTTCGGGCACACATGCACACACACCCAGCATGAATTTAAGCCTCCGGGTCCGGAACTTGAACCACAGTCGACTACATGAGAGTCCAGTGACATAGCCATTATGCTAACTGCTGGTCACTCAATAAAATAATTCTTAAAAAACAAAGAAACATAAAAGAAATGCATCCGCCTCTCCCATCGGGGTGGGAATGTTTGGTTTTAATGCCCAGACTAGGTCATGACCATGAACTCCATGTTAAGTCTTTGAAGAACAGGTGAGCGGTGCCAGTCAGCTAAATAGAAGCAGAGCCCCCGGGAGCATGGGAGAGGTCCGCCCTGCCGTGGGGGTGGGGCGGTCACAGGGAGGGTGGTGTGGCCGTAGTGGGAGGGCTGCAGTTAGGCCCCGGAAGGGCTTGGAGGCTGTTGCCAGTGCTCTGCGGTCAGCCTTGTCCTGGAAGGCCTTTATCAAAGACACACATGTCCGGGCTGGTCTTGTGGCCTAGTAGTTGCGTGAGCCAGCTCTTTCATGGCCAGCCGTGCGATTCAAGTCCTGGCCCAGGCTGTTTTAGAAGCACCCCGAGTGAGTGTGTATGCCTGGGATCCCGACAGGGAGGAGAGATGGCGAAGGGGTGGCAGTGTGACTGCCCCAGTGGAGGGGCGGGGGGAACATGTCTAGGGGAACCAGCAGTTAGCATAATGGCTATGTCGCTGGACTCCCGTGTAGTCGACTGCGGTTCAAGTCCTGGACCCGGTGTCTTAAAACACACCGGGCGCGTGTGTGTGTGTGCCCAAGATCCCGAGAGGAGAATGGAGAAGGGATTGCGGCGTGGCCATCTCCCCTGGGGGGTGATTTCTTGCTTTCTCTCTGTCTCTCTATCTGTCTGGCGAGCGCACGCGCCCTATAGCAAAAACCTCTCCCCCAAAAAAAACAATGTCCAAGCGAGTGCCACACAGTGTGTTGGGAGGAGGTTAGGCCCTGCTTGCATTTTTTCTTATAGAAACAATCTGAGGCTGTAGTCCCAACTTCTTATATATAATTACCTTTCCTCTCTCCTAAACCACAGTCGTTCTGTTTAGCCAGAGGTGGAGGCTCCCCAAGGCCTTCTAGCTGTCCTCGGCTATAGGAGGTCAGTGCCGAGGGCTGCAGAGAGGGGACCCAGAGAGGCCCCGCTGGTGTGTCTGGTCCGGTTGGAGCTTGCAGAAGGGAGGAGCACGGCGCTTCTCGCGTCTGCTGCCAGGGAGTTCTTCACTCCTGGAGTAGGTAGGCAAGGGATTGCCTTTTTCTGATGCAGGTCCCCGAGCTGCGGAAGAAATCCCGCCGGGAGTATCTGGCCAAGCGGGAGCGTGAGAAGCTGGAGGACCTGGAGGCCGAGCTGGCCGACGAGGAGTTCCTGTTCGGAGACGTGCAGCTGAGCCGGCACGAGCTGCGTGAGCTCAAGTACAAGCGGCGTGTGCGGGATCTGGCCCGCGAGTACCGGGCGGCTGGGGAGCAGGAGAAGCTGGAGGCCACCAATCGCTACCACATGCCCAAGGAGACCCGAGGACAGGTGAGGCGGAGGTGGACGACACCTTGGCCGGCCCCTTCCTGATCTCACCTGTCCCCACGGCAGGGGGAGTGCTGGGAGGGGGCTGGGCAGAGGAGAGAAGGCCACTTCCGTGTGGAGTCTTCACTTGCCTCGTGTCCCCATAGCCAGCTCGAGCTGTGGATCTAGTGGAGGAGGAGTCGGGTGCCCCCGGGGAGGAGCAGCGGCGCTGGGAAGAGGCCCGGCTGGGCGCAGCTTCCCTGAAGTTTGGGGCTCGAGACGCCGCCTCCCAGGAGCCCAAGTATCAGCTGGTGCTGGAGGAGGAGGAGACCATCGAGTTTGTCCGGGCCACTCAGCTCCAGGGTGACGAGGTGAGAGGGAGGGCGGCTCTGGGACACGGTCGTACGCGGGACTGGCCGTGACGCTCACGCCCCTCCGTTCCTTCCC